CTCCGGGGAGGACCTCCCCGCGACCACCCGGGAGGACACTGCCCCTTGGTTGCCTGAGAAGCTGCCACTGGCCGGCTCCGCGCAGTCCTGGCCACTCGGCCTCGCCTCAGTCTCGGCCGGTAGGCTGCCACCTCAGACGGGTTGTGCCCGCCACCGCCGGCTTCCCGTCTCCATGACAATAGGGCGCCGACGCCCCGCCCAGCCCCGCCCCCTGGGCGCCGTGACTCGGAGGGGAGCGGGCTCACGTCGCCGAAGGGCGGAGCCAATAGAGGCCGGTGTCCAATTAGTGATGGCAGGGAGGAGCGGGGCTGGGCGGATAGAGAGGTTGTCTGAGAACGTCCGCCTGAGAGGCGGAGCCTGGGGGAACTGACGGAGGGGAGGAGTCAGCGCGCGTGCGTGAAGTCGCGCTGCACAGAGTGTGCGAGTGTGCAGAGTGTATTTGTGTGCCCGGACTGGAGCTCAGGAAATAAAATGTATCTCGCCTGTCATAGTCATTGCGGGAAAGTTTGTGTATAGTCATCGGCTTGCGTGTGACCCCCATTATAAAAGGCCACAAAGTCCCTGATTTACTGGGCTTTAGTGGAATGCCCAACACTATGCCAGCCCGTGTCCTGGTTCACCAGCGCCCCTGTCTGTTCCAGAGTTCAAGTGCTTCTGTGACTTGTGGCGGCGCGGGGTGGAGGAACAGGCAAAGGGTCTGTTTTGTGTTCTGTGTGGCCTTCGTGGGCAAGGGCTCGGCCTGTGACTCAGTTGTGTGTATTTGCCTTGCCAGCTCCTCACTGGACAAACAGTGGTTGAGTTGGTTACTGCTCCGCGGAGCTTTAGCAGTAGAACGTGGGTGGGTGCTCGAGTGCATGCTAAGGGGAAGGAGACCCTCACTCTCCTCCACCACCAAACCCAGTCTGGCGTAGCTACGTTTGGGTAATGCAAAGCCCCGAGAAAGAGGCAGCGATCTATGGCGGGAGGGTGTTTAGTGGAGTCCAGAGACCTACTCCGGCGTAGCTGCTTCTCTGTCTGACTGCTCTTGCCCACTATCTGCAGAGAAAGGCTACCCCGTAGTACCGGGTTCCCAGTGTCTCCTCCTTCGCAGTCTGGCGGGGAGTTGGTGGAAGGGAGGCCGGGCCAGAGACTTGATGTCCAAGGCCTGTCTCTTGCCCACCTGCTGCTACTGGCGGAGAGGGACAGTCACCCCGGACTCCCTGCGTCCTGGACGCGGGCATCCATCTGGCTCTCCCAGGGGCCTTCATTCCGGGTCTCCAACTCACTCTCGGGTACCCTAGGTTGAGGGAGAAGCCAGGGGCGGGTCGGCTGCGATCCGCTTTGGAACTCAGCCTCCTGGCGAACGAGAAATCCGCTAACTCCTTGATTTGCTGTGGCAGAGCGTTCACTGGCGCGCGGTCCGCGGCCTCATTCCCTTTGTGCTTCCGAACGGCCGGACCCAACACCAAGGCCCGCCTTGCATCGGAACCGCCGCTCCACCCCGACTTAGCAGGGGAGGAAAGTTGGAAGAGATCGGTGCGCCCGGGATGTGATTGTCATCCTGGGGCCGGCGCTCGAGAGTCTGAGTGAGGGAGAGAGAGGGAGAGACCGAAGAGGGGAGGGGGGGAAAATAAGAGGAGGGGGGAGGAGGAGGGCCGGCGGAGGAGGAGGCGGGCGACGAGGGAGGGGCGGAGGGGAGGCGGCCGAGCGAGCGGGAGAA